ATCCTCCCCCTCTATGCGGCACTGGTCAGGCCGCAGCTGGAGTACTGCGTCCAGTTCTGGGCGCCGCACTTTAAGAGGGATGTGGACAGCATGGAGAGGGTCCAGAGGAGGGCCACTCGTATGATCAAGGGACAGCAGGGTAGGTCCTATGAGGAAAGGTTGCGGGACCTGAACCTGTTCAGCCTTCAAAAGAGAAGGCTGAGGGGGGATCTTGTGGCCTGTTATAAACTGGTTAGGGGGGATCAGCAGGCGCTGGGGGAGTCCCTGTTCCCCCGAGCGCTGCAAGGAGTGACCAGGAACAATGGTCACAAGCTGGCGGAGGGAAGGTTTAAGTTGGACATCAGGAGGCGCTACTTCACGGTCAGGGCGGCTAGGGTCTGGAACCAGCTTCCAAGTGAGGTGGTGCAGGCTCCCACCCTGGGGGTTTTTAAGAGGAGGTTGGATGACCACCTTACTGGGGTCATTTGACCCCAGTGCTCTTCCTGCCATGGCAGGGGGTCGGACTAGATGATCTGCTCAGGTCCCTTCCGACCCTAGAAACTATGAAACTATGAAGCTATGAAACTATAATCTGTACTTGGATGCAGCATATTGTACATCTTTCTACTGTGTGTGTGCTCTGTGTGTACACGTGTGCACGCTCAGTATGTGCACACTTTCTGTGTGCATGGTGTGTGCGGGTGCATGCTGTGTGTGTGTATATGCAAGCTCCGTGTGCATGATGTGTGTGTGTGTGCATGCTCTGTGCATGTGTATGTGTGCACATTCTGTGTGCATGCTCTGTGTGCATGCTGTGCTTGTGTGTGTGCACGGTGTGTGTGCATGCTGTATGTGCATGTATGTACATGCTGTGTGTGTGCATGCTGGGTGTGCGCGTGTGTGTGCATGCTGCGTGTCTGTGTGTGTACATGCTTTTTGTGCATGCTGGTGCGTGTGTGCAAGTAAGCACTTGTAGTCTGGTGTGTACATACGGTTAGCAGCGCCTGCCTGCCCAGCTTGTATGCACGTGTGGGCTTCTCCCTCCTGTGCTGGTGCATGCGCTGTACATGGCAGCTGTGACGGGCGCACATGGGGTGCCCTGCTCCGCCAGGCCCCTGTACATGTACACAGAGCTCAGCACGGCGGCAGGCACCTGGGAGGAGCGAATCCATGTCCCCTGCAGATGAGGAACACTACAAGATGCCTCCTTGGATATTTTTAACACTGCCAAAAATAGTCCTGCCTCCCCCCACCACAGCCAGCTCCCCGGCAGGTCTGTGCACCCGCACTGGCAAGGAGGTGGCTGCCGGGGCGGGGGGGACCCCTATCCTCTGCACCCCAAGGAGACCTCAAGCAGACCAGGCCGACAGCCAGGCAGGATTGGGCCAGTGTGTCCGGCAGGACGTCCGCTGACCCCCAAAGCCCCCGAGCCACGGCATGGCCTGGCTGGCAGTGGCATTTTATCGGAGGGGCACCGGGCACCCGC